AGAGAGAGAGAGCGAGAGAGAGAGATAGAGAGAGAGAGAGAGAGAGAGAGAGAGAGAAGATAGAGAGAGAGAGAGAGAGAGAGAGAGAGAGAGAGAGAGAGAGAGAGAGAGAGAGAGAGAGAGAGAACGAGAACGAGAAAATGTAGAAAAAAGAGTATGCACGAAAACTACGACGAGTAAAAACGGAAGAGAAAGGAATAAGGAAAACGGCTACGTTACTGAGCAATGAGGTGGAAATCAAAGTTGAGAAAACGAAATAACGACCAGAAAACCAAAAAGTGTCATAGCTGGAAAACGAAATTGAAGGGAACTATATCGCGACAACTATATACTTGAGCTGACGAAGATGCAATCTAGGGAAAAAACGAACATACCAGTGTGTCTAGGAGAGAAGACAAGCAAGAACTAGCGTCTGCTGCTGGGGAGAGTAAGCGAGCAGCGAGAAAAAAAGGGAAGAAATGAAACCCTAGGGAATGCAAACTTCGTCGCATTGATACTTCACGTCAAGTTAAAACGCGCGAACCGATACGGGGCATGTAGCTCAGTCGATTGAATGTCAACTAAGATCCGAATGGTTTTAGGTTCGAATCTCTTGGACATCACCTTACCAAGAACTTATTTTAGCGATTGTTTTTCCAATTCGAAAAAGCTTCGCAACCCTACGACGACTTCCGTCGCCTCTTGTTGTTGTTGTTGTTGTTGTTGTTTTTTTTTTTTTTTTCGTTTCGATTAGAAAGTCAAGTTTCAGAAACCAAAGGGGACCCGTTTTATGCTCGATGATCTTGAACATTGAAGAGTCAGAATGTTCGATGTGATCCATCCATCCATGCTTCCTACCAAGTCTTGAGTGGACTCAAAGCCATGCTATCAAGGCCTGTGTGCGAGTCCGCACGACAGAGGCTGATGATGCTTCTTCCTTCGTCTGCATTATCCGTACCGCACTCCATCCCACTCCACTGCACTCCACCTCGTTGCTGTCCCCCACAGACCAACTTCCAAGGGCGCTTGCTCATGACTTGAATGACCCATGCAACAAATGCAGTCTATCGTTGCTCTCTGCTCTGACTTCGTGCGAGTCAGCAAGGTGGTGGCTGTGGACGACCCTCCCCTCTTTTTCTATACTTTCTCTCTCCGTGACTCCCCATTTCCTCCGCAGACCAACTTCCAGGGGTGGGTGTTCATGACCCATGCAACGAAAGCCGTGTACTGTCTGTTGCTCTCTGATTCCGTGCGAGTCAGCAAGGCAGCAAGGTCGCTGTGGATGATGCCCTGTTGTCTGTCTCCCTTCCCCTACCCTCCCGCTGCCCCTCCACCCTCACCTCGCTCCACCGCACCCCACCTCGTCCCTCCTCAGACCAACTTCAGGGGCGGGTGTTCATGACCCACGCCACCAAAGCCGCCTACGGCTGTTGCTCTCTGACTTCGTGCGAGTCAGCAAGGTGGCTGTGGATGATGCTTGCTTCCTTTCCTCTGTTCCGTTGTCCCTTTTTCGCTGTCCCCTTTCCCTCCAACCCTCGCAGACCAACTTCCAAGGGCGGGTGTTCATGACCCATGCTACCAAGGCAGTGTATCGTCTGTTGCTGTCTGATTTCGTGCGAGTCAGCAAGGCTGCTGTGGATGATGCTCTGCTGTCTGTCTCCCTTCTCTCCCACTGCCCCTCCACCTTTACCTCTCTCCACCGCATCCCACCTCGTCCTTCTACAGACCAACTTCCAGGGCCGGGTGTTCATGACCCATGCCATGAAAGCCGTGTATTGCCTACTGCTCTCTGACTTTGTGCGAGTCAGCAAAGTCGCTATCGCTGATGCTCCATTGTCTAACCGCCCCCCCTTCCCCTCCCTCAACCCGCCCTCCGCACCTCGTCCTTTTACAGACCAACTTCCAGGGGCGAGTCTTCATGACCCATGCCACGAAAGCCGTGTATCGCCTACTGCTCTCTGACTTTGTGCGAGTCAGCAAGGTGGCTGTGGATGATGCTCTGTTCACGGAGCAAGATATTCAACAGAGCATGGAGAAGATCGAGGTGAGTGCGAGTGAGGGAGTGAGTGAGGGAGTGAGTGAGAAAGTGAGTGAGGGAGAGAGTGAGGGAGTGTGTGAAGGGGGGAGTCAGCAAGGTGGCTGTGGATGATGCTCGGTATGATGAATGGCATTAATGTCTGGTCTGGTGTTACACATAGCGGCAGCTATGTGCCTGTTTTGAGGCATCTCAAAACTGGATGATGTTCTGGCATGCTGAATTGCATCAAGTTCTGGTCTGGTGTTACACGGTGGTAGGGCAGCTATGTGCCACATGCTTTTTCTCACTCCCCCATTCATACCCCATCAGGTGATTGATTTCCATCAGATTCATGAGGCGAACGGCATCAAGTTCTGGTGCAACACAGCAGGGCACGTGCTGGGAGCGGCCATGTTCCAGCCTACACGCTTTGTCTTTTTTCCCCTCCCTTGCCTCGCCTCGCCCTTATCCCTCCCAGGTGATTGACTTCCATCAAATTCACGAGGTGAACGGCGTCAAGTTCTGGTGCTACACGGCGGGGCACGTGCTGGGAGCACCTTTCATTCAGTGGTAACCTCCCCCACCCCCCTCCGTCCGTGGCCTTCCCTTACCCTCTTTTCAGGTGATTGACTATCATCAAATCCACGAGGTGAACGGAATCAAGTTCTGGTGCTACACGGCGGGGCACGTGCTGGGGCCGGCCATGTTCCATTCCACATGCTTTGCCTTCCCCCCGCCCCCCCTTGCCTCACCCTGCTCCCACCAGGTGATTGATTTCCATCAAATCCACGAGGTGAATGGAATCGAGTTCTGGTGCTACACGGCAGGGCACGTGCTTAGAGCAGCCATGTGCCACATGCTCTGTCTCACCCTCCTTCCCGCTCTCGCCCCTCCCCTTCCACCAGGTGATTGACTTCCATCAGATTCACGAGGTGAACGGCATCAAGTTCTGGTGCTACACGGCGGGCCACGTGTTGGGAGCGGCGATGTTTGCGGTGGATATAGCGGGAATCAGAGTGCTCTATACGGGGGATTACTCGCGCGAGGAGGACCGCCACTTGCGGGCGGCCGAAGTGCCACCTTTTTCGCCGGATCTCTGTGTTATCGAGTCAACCTTCGGCGTGCAGGTGCGTTGAGGTGGTTCGTTGGTGCAGCGCTCGCTCACCTCTATTGCTCACCTCGAGTGCTCACCTGCTCATCAGAGTGCTCTATACGGTGGATTACTCGTGCGAGGAAGACAGCCACCGGAGGGCAGCCGAAGTGCCACCTTTTTCCCCGGATCTCTGTGTTATCGAGTCCACATTCGGTGTGCAGGTGCGTTGAGAGGTGGTTCATTGTAAGTGCTCACCTGCTCATCAGAGTGCTCTATACTGGGGATTACTCACGCGAGGAGGACCGCCACTTGAGAGCAGGCGAAGTGCCACCCTTCTCTCCGGACCTCTGTGTTGTCGAGTCCACATTCGGTGTGCAGGTGAGGTCAGTTGGTTCGTTGATCTAGTACTCACCTGCAGAAGCGCTGATGCAGAGAGGAGTAGGAGGAGGACCGGCACTTGAGAGCAGCGGAAGTGCCACCCTTCTCTCCGGACCTCTGTGTTATCGAGTCCACATTCGGCGTGCAGGTGAGATCTGGTGATGGTTCCTTCTCTCTAAGAGGGTGCTGTGCTTTATACAGGAGATCACTCGCGCGAGGAGGACCGGCACCTGAGAGCAGCAGAAGTGCCGCCCTTCTCCCGACCTCTGCGTGATTGAGTCCACGTTCAGTGTACAGGTGAGCGAGCGGGGCTGTCACGGCAGCTCTTCCATATAGCGGGAATCAGGGTGCTCTATATGGGGGATCACTCACGCATGGAAGACTGCCACTTGCGAGCAGTGGAACTGCCACCTTTTTCTCCCCTCCTCTGCTCCATTGACTCGAGTCAACATTCGGCATGCAGGTGAGACCTGGTGAGTGCTGGTTAGTAGTTCCTAACTTCCTATAAGCCCACTTGAGACCGGGGAGGTGAGCAGGCAGAGGAAGGAGGGAGCTCATTCCAGCGTTCTCGAGGGGGGGGTACCACGCACAGGAGCTGCTGCGCATGCTCTACCCCTCGACTTTTGAGGCGCCTAAGAAAAAATTGCGGGTAGAGAGACGACTTTTGAGGCGCCTCAAAAGTTGACTTTTGATTTTTGAGGCGCCTCAAAAGGACCACGCACAGGAGCTGCTGCGCATGCTCTACCCCTCGCCCTTTCCGCTCCCATTTGTGGTGCCCATTCGTTGACCGCTCTCCCCTGCACTCTCCCTCCACCACAGATTCACGAGCCAAGAGAAGTGAGGGAGCGGCGGTTCCTGGAATTTGTGGTGGGAACAGTGCTGACCGGAGGGAGGGTGCTCATCCCAGCACTCTTCCCTCTCCCACCCTCTTCTCCTCTCCCATCCTCTTAGATCCACGAGCCCAGGAAGTGAGGGGGCGTCGGTTCCTAGACTTTGTGGTGGGAACGGTGCTGAACGGAGGGAGGGTGCTCATACCGGCGTTCGCCCTGGGGCGAGCCAAGGAGCTGCTGCTCATTTTCTACCCCTCGCCCTTTGTGTGTAACCTCCACTCTTCTCCTCTGTACGTCTCTTCTCCTCTCCCCCCCTCCCAGATTCACGAGCCCAGGGAAGTGAGGGAGCGCCGGTTCCTTGACTTTATGGTCGGTCGGTACTGTCCTCAATGGAGGTAGGGTGCTGATTCCAGCGCTCTTCCCTCTCTTCGTCTCTTCTCCCCTCGCCCCCACTCACAGATTCACGAGCCCAGGGAAGTGAGGGAGCGCCGGTTCCTTGACTTTATGGTCGGTCGGTACCGTCCTCAATGGAGGTAGGGTGCTGATTCCAGCGCTCTTCCCTCTCTTCGTCTCTTCTCCCCTCGCCCCCACTCACAGATTCACGAGCCCAGGGAAGTGAGGGAGCGCCGGTTCCTCGATTTCGTTGTGGGTACCGTCCTCAATGGAGGGAGGGTGCTCATTCCGGCCTTTGCCCTGGGAAGAGCACAGGAGCTGCTGTTGATTCTGGATGAGCACTGGAGGGGCCACCCGGAGGTGCAGCACGTGCCGCTGCTCTATGCCTCTCCACTCGCACGGAAGACAATGGTGGTGTATCGGTGAGTCTTGGGAGAGACCGAGTCACAGGAATGGGTGGTGCAGAGCGGTTCTGTGCTGTGGTGAGCAGGAGTTGCTGCTGATTCTGGACGAGCACTGGAGGGGCCATTCTGAGGTGCAGCACGTGCCGCTGCTCTATGCCTCGCCGCTTGCAAGGAAGACAATGGTGGTGTACCGGTGAGTGAGGGGGTGATTCTTGGGTCCGAATCCCAGTGATTAGAGCGGAGGTGTGCGGTGCAGAGCGGTGCTGTGCTGTTGACCAAAGGAGTAGCTGCTGATTCTGGACGAGCACTGGAGGGGCCACCCCGAGGTGCAGCACGTGCCTCTCCACTTGCACGGAAAACCATGGTTGTGTACCGGTGAGTGGGGGATTAAGTCACACAGTGAAAATCGCACGGTGGTGAGTGGTGCCGAGTGGTGCTGTGCTGCATCCAGAGGTGCGGCACGTGGTGCTGCTCTATGCCTCTCCCCTCGCACTGGAAACCATGGTCATGTACCGTTGAGTGGGGTAAGTGGGGGAGGAAGTGAGCGCCGCTAACAATTGCATCCGCTAAAGAAAAAAACAAACAAAGAAACAAACACAAACAAACAAACAATTCTCAACCTGCTTCCATTTTTTAGCTTAGAGTTTTCTTCGTCCAACTCAAATCACCCCCCTCATTCTCTTCTGAGCGCCATGAACAATCGCATTCGCGGGCAAGCAGAAGCCTCCAACCCCTTTGACTCAAATCGTCCCCCGTCCCACTCCCCCCCACTCCCCCCCCCCGCCATTCTTTATCCCAGCACATATTTGAGCGCCATGAACGACCGCATTCGCAAGCAAGCTGAGGTCTCAAACCCGTTTAATTTCCGTCTCATCATTTCTCAGTTTTTAGTCAACTTGTGTCCCCATGTTTCACCCCACTCTTGCTTCTTTTCCATCCCAGCACGTACCTGAGTGCAATGCATGGCCACATTAGGTAGCAGGCAGGGGTGTCCAACCCCTTTGGCTCAAATCATCTCCCCTCTCTCCGTTTCACCCCCTCTTCCCCCACCCTCCTTGTCATCCCAGCACTTATCTAAGCGCCATGAACGACCGCATTCACGAGCAAGCTGAGGTGTCGAATCCCTTTGACTCAAATCGTCCCCCCCCCACTCCCCCCCCACTCCCCCCCACTCCCCGCTTCGCCCTCCCGTGTCCCAGCACATATTTGAGCGCCATGAACGACCGCATTCGCGAGCAAGCAGAGGTGTCCAACCCGTTTGACTTCCGCTTCATCAAGTCTCTTCGGAGCATTGCTGAATTCGAGGACACGGGTCCCGCTGTGGTGATGGCCAGTCCTGGCGGGCTGCAGAGCGGATTATCCCGACAGCTCTTCGACATGTGGTGCCAGGACGCGAGGTGAGATTGGAGCAGGGAGGGAATGTGGGGTAGAGGGAGAAGGATTCGCGAGAAAGCTGAGATGTCGAACCCATTTGACTTACGCTTCATCAAGTCGCTCCGGAGCATTGCTGAGTTCGAAGACACGGGTCCCGCTGTGGTGATTGCTAGTCCTGGAGGGCTGCAGAGGGGCTTATCCCGACAGCTCTTTGACATGTGGTGCCAGGATGCGAGGTGAGGAGATGGGTAAGAGAAGATCAGATCAGTTTGAGAATATGGGCCCAGCTGTGGTGATGGCCAGCCCAGGGGGGCTGCAGAGCGGGCTGTCAAAACAGCTGTTTGACATGTGATGCCATCCAGGAAGGAAGGAAGCCAGGTAAGGGATTGTGGGGCCAAGGAAAGGGGGTAAAGTGTTTGCAAGTCCTTGCGCAGCATCATAGGCTTTGAAGACACGGGCCCCGCAGTGGTCACTGCCAGGAACACGTGTATGATCCCAGGGTACATGGTGGAGGGCACCTTAGCCAAGACCATTCTGAGCGAGCCCAACGAGGTGACTCTGCAATCCGGCGCCACAGTCCCCCTCCGCATGAAGGTCCACTACGTGTCCTTCGCAGCACATGCCGACTACCCACAGACCTCCCACTTCCTGGAGCAGATCCGCCCTCCCCACATAGTGCCTCCCTTCCCCCCTCCCTCCCTCCCTCTCTTCTCCCTCTTTTCCCCCTCCCTTCCCTTCCCCCAAACCCCCCAGGAACACGTGCCTGATCCCAGGATATGTGGTGGAAGGTACCTTGGCTAAGACTATCTTAAGTGAGCCAAACGAGGTGACCCTTCTGTCCGGTGCCACAGTCCCCCTCCGCATGAAAGTCCACTATGTGTCCTTCGCAGCCCATGCCCATCCCTTCTCTTTGCCTCTTTCCCCCCCTCCCGGCTCCTGAGTTCCCCAGAAACACGTGTTTGATCCCAGGATATGTCGTCGAAGGCACGCTAGCCAAGACTATCTTGAGTGAGCCCAATGAGGTGACTCTGCAATCCGGCGCCACAGTGCCTCTCCGCATGAAGGTCCACTACGTGTCCTTCGCAGCACATGCCGACTACCCGCAGACCTCCCACTTCCTGGAGCAAATCCGCCCTCCCCACATAGTGCTGGTGCACGGGGAGGCGCACGAGATGGCGCGGCTTAAAGCCAAGCTTGCACTGCATTTTAAAGATTCGCCCGCGCCGCCGAGTATACACACGCCGAAGAACTGTCAGGGCGTGGAGTTTTTTTTCAAAGGGGAGAAGATTGCGAAGGTGGTGGGGAGGATTGCGGAGAAGGGGGGGGTGATGGCGCCTGGTGGGGAGGAGGATGGGGAGGGGGAGCGTGGTGATGCCGCTGCTGCTGTTGGTACTGGTGCTGGTGATGGCGGTGCTGCTGCTGCTCTGTCAATCAAAGCAGCAGAAGGAGCAGGAGAGCTGGTAGCATCGAGCAAAGCAGGAGCAACACAAGCAAGCGAGGGAGCAGAAGCAGCAGGGGGGGATGCAGCAGGAAGAGGTGCAATGGGGGGGTGTGCAACAGAGCCAGCTGAACCAACAGCGGGAGCAGCAGCAGCAGGGCGCACCATAAAGGGACTGCTCGTGCGCAAGGGCTTTAACTACCAGCTACTAGACCCTCAAGACCTCCCCTCCTACACCTCCCTTGGTCTCGGCACCGTGGTTCAGAGGCAGTCCGTACCCTATATAGGCCCGTTCGAACCCGTTATAAGGCGCCTGGAGATGCTGTTCGACTCGGTCGTGCTTATAAAGGACGCGGGCGTGCCTGCAGTGCAGGTGCATGAGAAGGTGATTGTAGCGAGGGAGGGGGAGGATAGGGTGGTGCTGCAGTGGGCGTCGGAGCCTGTGGGAGATATGCTGGCAGATTCGATTGTGGCTCTGATTCTGCAGCTGGAATCCGGGCGGCAGACTGGGAAGGATCTGACGCTGCTGACGTCAGCAGGAGGGAGAGGAGGAAGAGGAGTGAAGGTGGAAGGTGGGGGGAGGGAGGGAGGAGAGAAGGTGGTGAAGGGAGAGGAACTAGATGAAAAGACAGGAGCTTTGGTTGCTGGAGAAAGTGATAAGAAGGGGAAAGAGAAGGGCAAGGAGGGCGGAGGGGGCAAGGAGGAAAGTCAAGAGGTGGGGAAGGAGGAAGATAAATCGAAGGCTCTGGCGAAGGGAGAGGAGGGACAAGGGGACGGAGTTGGAGAGGGGGAGGGAGAAGGGGAGGAAGGAGGGAAGTGGAGGTGGCTCAGAGAGGACGAGATGAAGCACTTGGAGCGAGTGCTAGAGAGTATGTTTGGGGGAGTGAAGAGGGACGGCGAGGAGCGGTTGAGAGTGAGTGTGGATGGGGTGGAGGTGAGTGTGAGAGTGGGGGAGGGAGGAGGGGAGGTGGAGTGTGCGGAGGAGGGGTTGAAGAAGAGAGTGAGGGAGGCTGTGAACCGGTTTCTAGCTGCCGTTCGCCCTATCCCTCCGCCCGTTGGTTCTGCCGTAGGCTTGAAGAAAGCTTAGTCTTGCACTGTTGTTTCCTTGGTCGTGGAAGGATGTGTGCGAGGGGAGCTGTTGACTATGTATTAGTGTATCCTGGAATGTATAAAGTATGATACTTGCCAACAATGCATGTACCAATGGCTGCCAAGTGTACCCCAAGAGAAATAACTCGAGTCTTTCGGAAACCGTGGTCCCATGATCTAGCGGTTATGATGTCAGACTCTGAATCTGAATGCCCGAGTTCAATTCTCGGTGGGACCTGTTTTCTTCTGTTTTTGCCCGTGCAGCGATTGAGTAATTCAATTCAGATGTCTATTTGTGCTTGCATTATCTCAGTAGAGCAACCAACTGCCCTAACTATAGCCATTGTCTGCTCATTGCGCCTTCAATCACAAGCATTCCATATGTCATAGAAACACATGATGCCTAGTTAGCATCCAAGCGAAATCACAAACCCGCCAGCCTCCAGAACGTCCTTGTGCCCATCATGCACCCATCTATGCTCCCAGTGACTTGACCCACTGCTCTCCCAGCAGTCCCTGCCACGCTGCAACCACAGCATATACAACCTGCAGGAAGTTCTTATCCACGTTTCCATGCCCATCCATGTGCCTTACAGTTTAACTTACTATTCCCCCAGCACCACCCTCCGCGCTGCCATCACCCCAATTACAGCCTGCAGGAAGTTCTCATCTACCTTCCCATGCCTATCGATGGCACGGCCAAAGTCCACCAGCCTCAAAGAGGGAGGGCAGCTGTGCCCATCCATGGGCAACGAGACGACTTGACTCACTCCTCTTCCAACACTTCTTTCCACGCTGCCATCACCCCATCTACAGCCTGCCGGAAGTTCTTATCCACGTTTCCATGCCCATCCATGTGCCTAACAGTTTAACTTACTTTTCCCCCAGCACCTCCCGCCATGCTGCCATCACCCCATCCACAGCCTCTAGAAAGTTCTCATCCACCTTGCCTTGCGCGTCGATGGCACGGCCAAAGTCCACCAGCCTCAGAGAGGGAGGGTGGCTGTGCCCATCCACGTGCAACAAGATTACTTGACTCACTCCTCTCCCAGCACTTCTTTCCGCGCTGCCATCACCCCATCCACAGCCTGCAGGAAATTCTCATCTATCTTGCCTTGCGCATCGATGGCATGTGCAAAGTCCACCAGCCTCAGAGAGGGAGGGTGGCTGTGTCCATCCACGGGACATGACTCACTGCTACTCTCCCAGCACTGCCCGCCATGCCTCAATAACACCATCTACAGCTTGCAAAAAGTTCTCATCCACCTTGCCTTGCGCGTCGATGGCATGAGCAAAGTCCACCAGCCTCAGAGAGGGAGGGTGGGCGTGACTGCTTCCTGCCTCCTTCCCCTCCTCCACTGCCGCTGCCCCCTCGTGTTCAGGAGTGTTGGCCTCGTAAATTAACAGGATAGAGGCTGAGAAGAAATGGAAGGAGGTCTGCTGCGCAAACCTGTGAAGGGGCGACAAGGGGGGTGGGAGCAGGGGAAGGGTTTATCTGCTTCCCAAGCAAACTGGTCAAAGCAACAGTGGTGGGCTCGTGATGAGGAGGATAGAGGCGGAGAAGAAGTGGAAGGAGGTCTGCTGGGCGAACCTGTGAGGAGTGGGGAAACAGCAATAGCCATGAGTGAGTTTTGAGGCGCCTAAAAACTCCATTGTCTTTTCCTCCGCGTGTTTAGGAGTGTTTGCCTCGTAAATGAGGAGGATAGAGGCGGAGAAGAAGTGGAAGGAGGTCTGCTGGGCGAACCTGTGAAGGAGCAATGATGGGAATGAGTGAAGGTGTGAGAGGGGGAGAGGGAGCATGAGAGCTGCTGTTGCCATCCTTGCGAGAGGGGAGGATGGATAGAAGGGGAGACGAGGCGAAAAGTTCTTCAAGTGGAGGTTGCTAGACAAAAAGGTTCAATAGAAAAAGACTCACCAGTCCCTCAGTGTTTGCAGCTGTGCCAGAAGCCCTCCCTCTCCACGCAATAAGAGTTGAGTTTTGAGACTTTTTTTTTTTTTTTTTTTTTTTTTTTTTTTTGACTGCCCAGCTGAAGACTGACCAGTTGAGGAGTGTCTGCAGCTGGGCCACACAAAACGCCCCTCGTTCTCTCCTTCGCCTCATTGCCATGCGCAGCAGCAGCAGCAGCACCACCACCAGCAGCAGCACCAGCAACAGGAAAGACTCACCAGTTTCTCAGAGTCTGCAGCTGCGCCAGCAGCCCTCCCTCTCCACACAGAATGCCCCTCATCCTCTGCTTCGCCTCAGCACTGAGAGCAACACCACCAGCAGCACCACAAGCACCAGTAACAGGAAAGACTCACCAGTTTCTCAGAGTCTGCAGCTGTGCCAGCAGCCCTCCCTCTCCACACAGAATGCCTCTCATCCTCTGCTTCGCCTCAGCACTGAGAGCAACACCACCAGCAGCACCACAGCAACACCACCAGCAGCACCACAAGCACCAGTAACAGGAAAGACTCACCAGTTTCTCAGAGTCTGCAGCTGTGCCAGCAGCCCTCCCTCTCCACACAGAATGCCTCTCATCCTCTGCTTCGCCTCAGCACTGAGAGCAACACCACCAGCAGCACCACAAGCACCAGTAACAGGAAAGACTCACCAGTTTCTCAGAGTCTGCAGCTGTGCCAGCAGCCCTCCCTCTCCACACAGAATGCCTCTCATCCTCTGCTTCGCCTCAGCATTCAAAACAACAGCAGCGGCATCAGCAGCACCAGCAGCATCGCCGAAACCCGCAGGAGCAATGGCATCGATGCCAGGGGCGTCAGCAGTGGGAGTCGGGGAGAAGAAGAGGCGGAAGACAGCTGGCATTTGCTGATTGGTCAGGTTCTGGCACCACTTGCGGCCAGCCCTCCACATGGCGCCAGTTCTGCTGTCCTGCACCTGCATGCCCGCTACCCTGTAGCCCAGCGTGCCAGATGTGGTAGTGGAGTCTTTGACCCTGTGAAAGCACAGGCAGGGCGAGAGAAGAACTGGATAAAGAATGTGAGACTCTCCTTTCCAGCCTAAGCAGCCCTCCACATGGCGCCAGTGCTGCTGTCCTGCACCTGCATGCCCGCCACTCTGTAACCCAGCGTTCCAGATGTGGTAGTTGCGTATTTGACCCTGCGAGTGCATGCACACACACAAAGGGTGGGAGGTAGCATGAGTCACATGACTGGCGCCAGTGCTGCTGTGCTGCACCTGCATGCCTGCTATCCTGTAGCACAGGGTTCCACTCGTGGCAGTGGCATCCTTGACCCTGTCAACGCACAAGCAGGGAGAAGCCAAGGAGGGAGGGATTGTAAGATCAAGAAGCTTTTTCTTAGACTGAGAGCAGCAGCCCTCCACATGGCGCCAGTGCTGCTGTCTTGCACCTGCATGCCTGCCACCCTGTAGCTTAGCGTTCCCCACCCTTCTGCTACCCTGTTGCTATCATCCACCCCTTTGGTCACACCAAGCTGCGGTGGTGACGTTTTTGCATTTGTGCGTGCGAAGCTAGGGAATGGGGCAGGAAAATGAAGCAAGAAAGCGGCTTCTAGTTGTGTGCTTAACTGGAATTTGGAAGAGACTTGAAAGAGGCTTGGAAGAGGCTTGGAAGAGGCTTAGAAGAGGCTTGACAGAGGCTTGGAAGAGGATTGGAAGAGGCTCGGAAGAGGCTTGGAAGAGGCTTGGAATAGGCTTGAAAGAGGCTTAGAAGAGGATTGAAAGAGGCTTGGAAGAGGCTTGGAAGAGGCTTGAAAGAGGCTTGGAAGAGGCTTGGAAGAGGCTTGGAAGAGGCTTGGAAGAGGCTTGGAAGAGGCTTGAAAGAGGCTTGGAAGAGGCTTGGAAGAGGCTTGGAAGAGGATTGAAAGAGGATTGAAAGAGGCATGGAAGAGGATTGGAAGAGGCTCACAAGCATTTGTCGATGTATTTCTGAGGAGCCCCTTCATACCATGTCTTGCGCCCCATCTGCTTCCCAGAGCGTGGAGAGGGACAGGGGGAGTGGAGAGGTAGAAGGTAAGAGGTGTGAGGGGGGGGAGGAGAGGGGATGCACACGGCAAGACAGAGTATACTAGCTAGCACATGCTGCGGGTTAAGTGAGGAATTTTGAGGTGACTCGCAAGAAAACTGGATGGCACATGCTGAAGATATACTTTTGAACAGCCCTTGCACATGGACCCTTACTACCATGTCTCGCACCCCATCTGCTTGCAAAAACGTTGAGGGGGGGGCTTTTGTCATATGCATGGCTTACTCTGAACCATTCTTCCCACATGCCCCTCTCACCTTGATATCCATGATGCATGGTTTGGTGTAATTTCTTGTAAGGTCCTCCATTACTAGGAACTGTGGTAGATAAATGAGACAGCAACAACACACCACCATACCGCCATCGCATCACACCATCATACAGCCATCGCATCACACCATCATACAGCCTTCGCATTGCAGATTGAACACACACACTCCCATGCATGGACCCAACCATGAAGGTACGCAAACACATTCACACATGCATGCAATGCCAACCCTCAACACATCCAGAAATCCATTGCTGCACAAGCCATAGATGTTGGGGGGGGGGGGGTTCAAAAGTTTTAAACGAGATGTTGACGTTGGGGAGGTTCAGATTGGATTGACGGATTGGGGAGGAGGGGGGAATGCAGGGAAAGTAAGGAGAGTGGGGTGGATGTGGAAGAGAGGAGGATATGAGGAAAGGAGGAGAGGAGGGGAGTGATAGGAGGAGAAAGTTGAAGAGGAGAGGAGAGGAGGAGGGGATGTATGTTGAGAGGAGGGAAGGAGGCGAGGAGGATAGGGAAACGGTGGAATGGGAAAAGGGAGGGAGGGAAGGGTAAGAGGAGTCGAAAGGAGTTAAGGAATAAACGTGCCAGAAAACGAATCAGGGATAGATGAATTGGAAGACGCTATGAATTTCGAAAAGCAAAATTAGAACCTGCAATGTTGGGTGTTTTGTGACAAAGCTACTTGGGGAAGCGGCTTATGATAGTAAAGTGTCTATGGGTATTGATATCCTCAGAGTGTGTGTATGGTATGGGGACGGGACGAGTCACACCCAGAGACTGGTGAGGTGATTACTGATCATAGGATTGATAATAGGTCACAGGGTCACGGGTCACAGGGAGTGGGTGAATGGTGGGAGGATCTTGGGAGGATATTGACTGGTGTAAGCTGTTGCTCCGTCCCTTCTCTTCCTTCCTCCTCACTTGCATCCGCAGCACCACCAGCAGCAACAGCAGCGGCAGCTGAAGCAGAGGCGGCAGCGACAGCGCCGGCAGCAAGAGCAGCAGACGGCGTGTGTGACGGCGGCAGCAGCACCTCCTTGCTCCCGTGGCACACGGGAAACATGGCTTTAATCTCCGGAGGTATAGACGTGTCCGCAGCGATCCGCGTGTAGAATTTCAGCTCCTTTTCACCGCGTTCGCCGGCTTGCATTGGCTTGTAGAAGCACCCCGAGTCGTCTACTAACGAACCCTGACGGCCCTCTGGTAGAATTGGAGGGGGAAACGTTTCATTGTGGAAGTACGGCCGGAAAGAGACTTTTAAGGCGCCTCAATAGAATTGGAGATGGTTTTTGAGAATTCTCAGAAACATTTGATCGTGGAAGTACGGCTGGAAAGCGTCAAGAACAGTAGTGAAACTGAAACGCCACGACAAGCCTAGTCAACAGTAAACCTCCAACACTAGCAAGAACTACTTTTCATTTACCCCACAAAGTTAAACCATTCCCTCTTTGCCAGCTCACCCTCAAAACGGTGACCAACCACCCACCTGGAGGCCAAAGAAAACCTCCCACATCCCAGTTCCTCCCAGGCTATCCACCTTAGCACCCTCTTGAGTCGACTCAAAAGAGGTGACTTTGACTTTTGAGTCGACTGAAAAGTCACCTCGGTGACCAACCACCCACCTGGAGGCCAAAGAAAACCTCCCACATCCCAGTTCCTCCCAGGCGATCCACCTTAGCACCCTCTCCCTGTCTCTCCTCATTTTCCCTCTATCTTCCGCCACACCCCCTCCTCTCCCCCTTTCCCAACGCACTCGCGGTCATCTATCCTACCCCGCACCTGAAATTTCCCGTTCCCTGCCTTTCCGCACCCCCGTCTCCCTCCCCACGCCCCCCTTGCTCACCCTGGAAGCGGCAAACAGCCACTCGGTGTTCCGCGGGTTGCGGCAAACCCCCTTCTCCCATTTCCCCATTCCCTCCCCCCCACACACCCCCTCCCCTTCCCCTTCCCCGCTTCCCCCTTCGCTCACCTTCGAAACGGTGTCCGGCCACTTGGGGTTCCGCGGGTTTCGGCAAGCCCATTCTCCCATTCCTCCCCTTCGACGGTTTCCACCCAACCCCCCCTCCCCCCCCCGAGGGGGTCCCACCCTCCCCCCCTCCGAGGGAGGGAGTCCCTCCCTTCCCCTCTCCGCTTCCCCCTTCGCTCACCCTCGAAACGGTGTCCGGCCACCTGGTGTTCCGCGGGTTTCAGCATTTTGGCCGTCGACTATAGCGCGACGCGTTAACGCTATAATGCGCAAAAGCTCGGCTGCTCCAAAAGACGAGAGTCACAAAGCGTTAGACGATGATAAGGCACCCCTGCCTTATTGCTGCTACCACGCGCGGTGGTAGAACTGACGAGCAGTTCGACGCGTGTTCCACGACCTATGCCGTTTGTTGAGCGTACTATTTTCCTTTGGGCTGGTTAAAGCATCAAGCCGGTTTCATCTCTGGGGTGGCTGGCGTGCTCTATGGGAATCTGAATCTACGGCGTGTCAGAGGCGAGCTAGAATCTAGGAGCCTCTAGGTCGTATTTCCGCCATGCTCGTATTTGCAAGCCGACCTCGTCTCACAGTCTCGTTTCGGTTTCCTTCTGGGAGTCTCTGTCATTTACGTGAAATTTTGAAAATTAGACAGACACTTTTTAAGTTTTAAACAAGCGCTTGAGATGAAGTCGCCAAGAAACACTCCCGCAGCAACGTGGAGCTTTTTCTTTAGGAATCAGATTCCGCACTGGTATAAGGATAATGATGTGACAATTTTCATGATGAAATAACCAATACAAGAAGTGTAATTTTGTTAGTCTTTTGATATCTCGTACAGCCTTTTACTGGTATTTGACGCAGAAGCGCCTTCAGAAATAAATGACCCTCCAGTATGAACGATCAAATGGCATCAGAAGCACAAGAAAAAAAAATACAAGAAACCAAAGTAGTCATTAGAAGAATAGGAGGGAGGCACAATACAACGACTAAAATTGCTTAACAAATTTTGTAACAAAGGCCACTCCTTACCTTGCAGATTAATCGACGCGCCAGAAAGGCTATTAGTACCACCATGGAACACGCGCCACCGATGGTTGACAGCCAACAACTGATCGTAATGCGAGCTGCGTGTACATGCAATTTGCACAATGACCATTGCACGGATGGACACATGGCAAAGCAAAGTTACAGACTGGCCACAAAAGACGGTCAACGCAATGGAACCGACCGGGTCGAAGGGACAGAACAGAACAGAACAGAAGACGGGCGCGGGCCTTACCATCAGACCTCCTGTCCAAGAACGCCTGTAGGGTTTGCTCGATTATCTTAATCTCATCGGCTGCAGCATCATCAATCCCTTGGTCTGAATCCTCCTTCCACTTTCCTCTCTCCCTCCAAACTTCCCTCTCCCTCCTCCTGCTTCTATCATCCTTCCTCTTCCGACCATCATCCAGGCTCCCTCCCAGCAGTGAGGGTAGCAGAATCCCCTCCACAGTGTACACCACCAGGCGCCGCGTGACTACAGTAGCACCCACCGTTACAGTCACACTGGATACATGCCCACTCGATAAAGTCCCATTCAACACACGCACACTTCCCAAATCTGCACTTGATACAGGCACATTGGATACAGTGAATCTGAGCCCAAAGGATGCGAGACTAAGGCGAGAGCCCTGCAGCGACCTGTGCTCGCCGCGCCACTGCAGGAGGGAAACCCTAGAGGGAATCAGATGGCACAGAGCTATCTCCCTCAGGACCTCGCTTCTCTCTGCCGAACCGACTTGTTGGGACGAGTCCTCCCTTCTCTCTGCCGAACCTGGCCGTTGGGCCGAACCCTGCCGCAACCCACCCAGCTGCTGCTCGTTTGGAATACCCAACCGTGCAGCTGAACTCTCTTTTCTTCTCGCTCCTTCTTGCGTGGCCCTTAATTTTCTTGGGAATACCAGATTGTTTTGGCGCTGTTTGGGGAATAGCGCCAAGGCCTCCAGTCTCCGCAGCGCCAAGGGGAGAACCAAGGGCAGAAGCGCTGCTAGGGCCGCATCCGAGGGGGCGAGCACGGTCGCGTTGCTGCGCCGCAGGCGGCGGTGAATTTCGGGCAGCACGCCCGCGACGCCCAGCAGTCGCTTGAACCCCGTGGGCGCCGCTTCACCCAGCTCTAGCAGCACGTCGCCTGGAATAGCGCGTTTGCGCGTGCCTGCGCCAGTATGATTGGAGAGAGTGTGATTGTAGCTGAAGCTGTTCTCTTCTGTCCTTCCCCCACTCCCTCGCCCCGTTCTACTGCTCTCTCCCGCCGCTTCCCCGCTCTCTCCCGCCATTCCCCAGCTCTCCTCCGCCATTTTTCTGTTCATTTCCGCAATGTCGCTGTTCTCTCCCTTGATTTCCCCCTCATTCCCGACATTCCAGCTCACTTCCGCCAAACCCCCGCTCACGTCCGCCATGAGCCGGCGATTTTCCAGTGATTCCTCTCTCCCGTGCTGCTCTCCGCGCGCCGACTGCATTCGCGCAAGAAGCAGCGCAAGAGCTAAACCGCGGATAGCCAAAGAAAGCATTGGGAGCTTAAGCATTACGTCGATCCTATTTCGTCCCCATAGATTACTGATAGTCTATGACTAGCCCCCGCGGTGGCGCCGCGAAAGCCGCCGTGCAGGCGCCGCGAAAGTCGCGAAAGTCGCCTGCGGCATACTATCATTGACTCAAGAGTCTTCGGAATGTGCCGCCAATTGGCGTGGGGCCGCAAAACCCCACCACCATGCCCCCACGAACGGACTCGATATAACGGACTGTGTTACACCTCAAATGTTGTTCTGTGATAGTGGCATAGAATATGTGCAATTTGTTATTACCAGGAAATGTGCATTTTCTAATGTGAAAATTGTCAATATAATGAGTTCACGGCAGTTCGAGCAAATGCATTGATAGGGTTGCATGTAATTTTGTTGGACATAATGTGGTTCAATTAAGATTGAGGAGAGAAAACTATCTCCCAATCAGCCAGATCAATTTGATTTTTGCACCCTCCTTTCCCATTCTTCCCTTGAACCGCGTTACAGTCACAATCTTCCACAGATTCAGCAAACTGCTTTTCTGTGGTCCTCCCTCCCATAGTTTTTGTGATTCAGCGGACTCACTTCTCGTTCCAGACCAAGCGCCTGCCAAACAGCGCCTGCGACGCTTGTCATTCGGGACTCTTGATATGAGTTTCGCGGTTCAAGCGAGGGCGATGGTGTTTTAGGCAACGGGTTCCGCAGGCACTTTGATGGAAATCTGAGACGCGGTATCCATTGCACATGGATGTCTGCTGTCGCGAATCTGTCGGCAATCCCGAGGCTCTCTGCGTTCCGTCGATCAGGCCACACGTAGTCGTTTAGGATACGGCCTCATCAGTGCGTATGCATCAGATAACTCTTAGATAAAGTGAATTCTGAGGCTTTTCTATACCGCAAAGCATCCATTCGAGGTTAACTCCAACCAAATCTTATCCCATCACTGGCTCGTTTCTTTGACCGGGCCCAACGGGGACTGAAAGAGGCAAGAAATACTCGCAGACACTGGATTCGCTATACGCCATTAGTGATCCCCTCTGATCAGGCTTTGGACACAGTTTGTCACATGTAACTGCGTCTCAATATCAGCGCTTTCAATCGAACCTCTGTCAACCGCACTGAACCGCGGCAATGCATCGGTCGACGAGCGCCGGAGCTATGTCGACCATGGCGACGGGCGGTGGGGCCATGGCGCGGCCCCGCAAAGAGCGGAAAGTGACGTTCGTCGTGCGCGACTCGGATGATACCACCGTAAGTTGGGTACACAGAATAGAGTAAAAAAGCCTTTTAATCGCTCTCAACCGCACTGAACCGCGGCAATGCATCGGTGTGTCTGGCGGTGGGACGATGCGCGGCCCTGCAAGGAGCGGAAAGTGACGTTCGTCGTGCGCGACTCGGATGATACCACCGTGAGTTGGGAACTTAGACTGGAGTTATAAATATCACCAGCTGGAGACCCTTAACTCGAATATAACGCTCCAGACGTTCCTTGTCTCACTTTCCCTCCCCTGACCTGCCATTATCGCCGCAGATCCCTCATTATCCCCCATTACCTTTCAACACCCCTCCCCCCCTCACACCCCACCCCCCTCCTCTCCATTGACTTCTCACCCTTCTAAAGTCACCTGTACATATTACACCTCTCATTATCCCCCCTCACCTCCGATTCTTGCACCTGATCCCTCATCACTCTTCTGTACCCCTCATCATTCGCACCACGAACATAGGACTCGGGTAATGTTCGCTTGACCTCTTCCCCCTCCTCCTCCCCACATTCAACCCCAACCCCTTTCTCTCCCCCACCCTTGCAGCGCTATGCTGGCGTCAACATTGTAGAAAGTGAGGTTTTGAGAGCATTGTCTGCATAAAACATTGTCTCCCTCTCAAAAGCGTCAACATTATCTGCCTCGCTCTTCCTATTCCCCCCGCATCTCTCTCACTGCTCTCCTTGTCCTTTCCCCCTGTTCCCCCCTTCCCTCCATCCACTGAAACCTCCCCCACCCTCGCACCACTGTGCTGGCGTGAACAGTGTGTGTCTGTTTTCTCCTATTCCCCCCCCTTCTCTCTCACTGTTCTCCCTGTCCCCCCCCCCCCTCCCCCCCCTCCCCCTCCCCCCCGCCATCCCCTCCCCTCGCAGCACTGTGCTGGCGTGAACAGTGTCTGCCTCGCCCCTCCTGCCACGTCAGCATGGTATCTGCACCAGCAGGGACCCAGATCGCCCCACTCTCACCCACACTCGCATTCCCACGGCCACAATAGAAGCAGCAATGATGCTGACTATAACGAGGAGGCTTATATCGAGGATGTAGTGTTCACAGGGAGCCGGGACGGAACCATAAAGCGGTGGAGGGTTCCCGTAGGCTCGGCGGCTTCCAGAGCAACAGAGGAGGATCGGTACTGGAGGGGGAACGGAGGTGCGGTAACCCCAAGAGGAGTGTATGAGACGACATTCGAGTCGCATACAGACTGGGTAAGCCAATCAACTGCCTAATCTTGTGTGGTATCCACCTGTGCATCTCCATAGGTACTACATTATCCCTTCAGGCTATACTGCTGACAACCTGGCATATGCCTTTCTCTCTGGCATTAAAGGAACCTGGTTCTCTTCTTCTTGTGATCCTGGTTCCGAACCTCGCTTTCCTCCTTGAATCTGTTTTATGCTTAGATGCACAAGCACACGCCGCCGC